AAGATCCTATAAGGAAGAAACCACCAGAGACTAAAGAACAATCTTACAGTCCACAGGATACCTTCAAAGAAGGCCTGGTGGAAAGTGAGTTGAAACAATTGTTCATGGAGCTCAACCAAATATCCTGTGTTTTTAACCTCTGAGAGACAGGCCAGCATCCCAAACCATCTCAGTGTGGCCTGGAGGATATTCAAATGAAAAGCCCCACCCTTTGCATTGTGACTTCCCTCTGCCTCCCGGATGGGTGGAAAGGCGTGGTGTGGCTGGTGCTCTCTAGTTCACTGCGTACGTGGGAGGTTGAGGAACATGCACAGCCGTTGTGAATCCATGTGACACTCCTCCCTGCTTGCTCAGCAGAGGCTTCTTGGTGCACGGTCCCCTCCCATCTGCTCAAATGGACAGCTGTACCCTTGGGCTGGGCTCTGGAGAAGGTGACATCCTTATTAAGAGGCAACCTCTCCTTGAGCTCCGTGTTGACATTCACTCGATTGGGTTTGAAATCCAGCAGAAGGGGTGCTTTTCCGGAGCGTGCAAACGGACAGGAATCTCTTGCCTGTCACTCCGATTATTGCCTTCTAATCCTAAGAAAGCTGCTGTGGGATTTGGGGCCATGCCTAAATGTCTTCACAAAAAGTCTTGTTTTCTATATCTCAGTGTCACAATGAGGGTTCCTCCCCAAATGACACATTTGTGGAGTAAAACTTGGAGTTTGGAAAAAGTTTTGTGTTTACTTACCGTAACTGAATAGAACTTTGGAAGAAGTTTGGAGATATATGTATATTAAGATCTGCAATGAGACAAGAGTGGCAGTTCAGTCCTTAAAGCTCTTGTGGCACAAGCCTGAAGTCTTGAGTTCGATCCCCAGAACCCATAGTAAAAGCCAGATGTGCTGGCAGGTGCTTGTAATCTTAGTGCTGCAGAGGTGAAGACAGGATTCCAGAGCGCATCCTAGCTGGCGAGTTCTAGACCAGTGAGAGACACCATCTCTCAAAAATGTGGTGGATGATGCCTGAGGTCAGCGCTAGGCTGACCTCTGAGCTCATCATGCAAGTACAGATATGTACCCACATACACACACACACACACACACACACACACACAAACACACACACACACAACCACACACATACAGTCACACAGAGACACACACAGTCATGTACACATATGCATACATACACACACATGGTCACACACACAGGTACACAGAGGCACACATACACACATATAGACACATACACAGTCACACACACAGACACACACACACAGTCACACATGCATAAACACACACACAGTCACACACACACATGGTCACACACACAAATACCATGAAAACATAAAATATAAAGATCTGGACTGTGTGCCTCTTATGAATTTCTAGAACATTCTTATATTGAAACACAGGTTGGTAATTGACAAGTCCTGGTAGAATTTCCTTCAGCTGGAGTTACACAGCTCTGGCTTCCAGCCCTTGATCATTTCTTTCCCTCCTTACAGCACATGGGTTTGTTATAGATGGTGCAGAACAGGTTATAGGCTTTCTGACAGTTAGTGTGTAGTATAAATACCATGGTAGAGATTTAACCTCCTTTCCTGTGAAAATTTTCTTGCATCAATACACATCTGATTCTGAGTCTTAAGAGGAGATGTGTTGTAAACTTTTACAGTACTAACCTTGCGTGTTGCAGTATAAGTGGGCACAAGAAACAGCGCCCATCAGCTTCCACTGCAGTGAACTCTAAGGGATTCCCCAGGGCACTGGAATTGTTCTATAACATAGCCAAATTGGAAATTGCTTAAAACATGTACAATTGAGAGAGCTGTAAATTTGTTGTACTTAGTTTTATGTTAGGGACCTATTTACTTGTTCACGTATTTTCTCATTTTGCATGTGGGTGTGTTTGTATGTGTTTAGCACTGATGTGCCCGTGCCTGTGCCTGTGGAGGCCAGAAGACAACCTGTAGTGTATTCTCAGGATCCATGCCCACCCATGGTGGGGTTTATTAGGATAGGGTTGTCATCTGTTTGAAAATTCAGAGCTTTGAAGGCTAAATGCTACCTGAAACAATTCTTTTAAAATGCACAAAATTCCTGAGAATTGTTTCACCACCATTTTTAACTTATGGCTATCAGTGCACTTCTGTAGGCTACACATGCGTTTTCCCTGTCCTGGATATTCAGGATCCCTTCCAAGTTTCTACCTAAACATGGTAAGGGACAGTCTGAAGACTTCAGTAGCCCAGGGCTCACAAGATGCAAATTTCAGGACTATCTCCATGGCTACCCCCTCTCTAGCTCTCAGGATAATTTAAATTCCACAATTGTCTGTGTCTTCATAATGTGTTTTCATAATTTAAAATTTTAACATAAATGCTGACTTGGACTACATGCTTATTGAATGACCTTAAGAGGAAAATGAATTTGTTTTCTGTTAGACGTAGACAAAAATTCTGTGAAGCGTAGTGTTGGAGGATATTTGATCATACTGTTAAACTTGAGACTGTGGCAATAAAATCAACCTTGGATGGGGTGGGGGCCGGGCAGAGCCAGCAACTACTGGACAGGAATTAGCCAAAGATAATACAGAGAAGCCAGGAAGACGGATAGAGAAACACACAGGAAGGAGCAGGGATGGACTTGGAGATTGGCAGTCTTTTTTTTTTTTTTTTTTTGAGATGGCTGGAGAGATGCTCTCTTCCTGGGTCTCTGGCCAAAAAGGTTGCTTCTTGGCCTCTCTGATACAGCAGGTTTTCGCCCCCACATCTGACTCCTGAGTCTTTATTGGTAAACAGAATGACAGAGACTTAGTTAAAAACTGTATTTGACGGCAACAGGAGAACTGGTACCAGTGGGACCAGAGATCCCGCCAGGCTGCAGCCTGAGCCGCGGAGCGCTGACTGTGGAGTCACGGGTCGCAGATGATATAGTAAAATACCATTAGACTCAGGTACAGCTGCTAAGCCCGCGGGAAACCAGCAGCACAGGGGCCCTTACTGCTTTATTGGTGTTGTGATAGGGTACAAAATTTGTATTTCTAGATACCGTTGTATGTTTTGACATTTGGAATCGGCAGATACTTTCCTGCTATTCATCCTGCCTAGGACTGCTTTATCTTTTTATAAAAATTGGGAGCATTGCAGATTGCAGTGGAAAGATCCCTTGATGTACGGCACGTGGGTTGTTGGAGGCTTGCGGCTGATTCTCTTCTTGTTTTCTTCTGTAAGAGCAAGAGCTCCTTAAGGACAGCCTCGTGGAAAGGAGAGAAACAGGGTAACGGGAGGTCTTCGTGTGCAAAGCACATGGCAAGCATCAGCCAATTTACCGCGTGTGTCTTTACTTCTGGTCTCAGTCGCCTCTGCCGTGCAGGAGGGCTAATTTTATGAAAGGCATCATTGGCTGGGGTTGTAGCTTAGCGGCAGGGCACTTGTTTAGCATTTTTGAGGCTCTGGGTTCAAGCCCTCATCAGTGTAAGAAAAAAAAAGAACTAATTTATTTTTAAAAACTACTGTAGCATTGAAAAAAATGATTATTATATTTTCTATTGATGGCAACAGTTCGCATAGATATAATTTTCCTCCACATAACAATATATATATTTTCACATGAGTGTGCATGTTCAAAATAAAGAAAATGGCATTCTAAATTGTGGGGGACCCCTAGGTGTAAAAGAAGAGGTAAGAGCAGGGCTTGGGATGTTACTGTGGCACACAAGACTCTGATTTCAGTCCTTGTAGGTGGTAGGAGCATCATAGGTGATGGTTGTTAGTTTGGAACTTGATCCTTCATGGATTCTGGCAAGTGTGTGCATGAGACCCATGTTTATGATGGGTAAAGATGGGGCGTGCTGCTGAACTCCATTCTGATGCCAGTTTTGCTAAGACTGTTGAAACTTTAAAGACAATTTATTTTGTTTTTAATTAGTGTGTGTGCGTGTGCGTGTGCGTGTGCGTGTGCGTGTGCGTGTGTGTGTGTGTGTGTGTGTGTGCAAGTGCCGACAGGGCAGAAGAGTTGTTGGATCCCCTGGAGCTGGACCTGAGGTGTGAACTGCCCAACATGGGTGCTGGGAACCCCCCTGGGGTCCTCCGCAAGAGCAGCAAACCACCTCCCCAGTGCTGAGATGCCAAGCACAAGCCACCAAACCTGGCTTTTCCTCTCGCCTTTCCTTTATTGTTTTTTAATGGTTGTGAAGATGGAACTATAAAGTCCTCATGCTTTCACGGCAAGCACTGGCCAAATTGAACCACCTCCTCAGTCCCGACTGCCTTTTTCACACAACGTCTCCGACGCACGCCATTCATTTTTACAGCGCTGTCCGCCTTGTTTTCCAGCCCATGCTTTTGTCCCTAGACACAGAAGCACCTGGTTTTCCTCTTTTGTAATCTTTGTTTGCACTCAGACATTCGTAGTCTTACAAGATTGCTCTCACACAGAGACCTCCAGTTTCTGAAACGTCTGTGCTGACGGACATGTCCAGCTGTCCACTGAATATCTCTTCTCTGAGACGTGTGCTTACCTGGAGCCCTCCCACCCCTTCTTGATTTCAGGCTGCCACTCATTATCATACACAGTTTCTTCTCTCTTGAAAAACCCCTCTTTGCCTCCTGCTCTATACACCTGTTATACAGCTCAGGGCCTGGCTTTGTTTGCACACTGAGAAGTGTGCCTCCGATGCTCTAGCCCTCCTCGACCGCTTTCTCTTGGAATTTTCCAAACCGCTGCTGTGTCTTTATTGTTGCTTCTGACAGGTGTCTAAATGGGTGTAAACCCTAAGGGCCACAGGTTCTTTCCCTCTCTAGATGCCCAGGTGCATGGTAGGTATGATGTCCATGCTTGCTAACAGATACGTGACTGCAATTTCATTATTCTTTACTTAATCATCAGGCATAAAATTCAAAAAAACATTGACGTAAGCTCGCGACACACAGAAAACTGCAGTGACCCTAGAGTGTTTGATACTCCACTGATGTGTTGAAGGGTTTTGTTTTCTCCCTTGTTTCACTAGCAATCAAAGAGAAGTACGCGGACTGGACAGAATTCCTCATTCGTGATTTGACTGGTTCTCGGACAGCACCTGCAAACCTCCTGGAAGGTGTATGTATTGCTATTATTCATCTCTTAGAGCCCCGAAGCACCCTGGGCCTGTGATCTCAAACCTAGTGGCACCTTTGCACGTATCCTTCTGCAGATACATGTGGGCACAGATGATTTTATTCTCGCAGCTGAACTTCCTGTTTTTTACTCAGTTACATAGGTGATGAACTTGAGTGGTATTGACTGATGTTTTCCTGTGTTATAAGCAATACGTGGGAAGTCTTCTCTGTTCGAGTGCATTAGATAGTTATGTATTGGGATGTCTTCTCATTACCCTTAAGCCTTATCTTGTAGGATAACTTTTCGGCAGGTGATGACTAAGCAGATTTATGTTCTTACTGTAGTCTCCTGCAGCCCATTAATAAGTAGCAACATTAGTTGTTCATCCCGGGTGCATAATAACTCCATGATCTCACATGTATGTGTCACCTAAGACTATTGATTAGCTTTCTCCATAAAACAAGAGGAGACACGGCTGACTGCATTGGAATGTAGCTAAGGCAGGTGTTAGGCATAGAAGCAGAGTAGTTTAATCTTGAGTCTTGATACTTTGTTTGAAAACATTATACTGAAATATTAATAGTTCTTATGTGTACTTGAACAGAAAGACAAAGGCAGTGTGTCACATGTAATTAAGTTACCAATTCTGTCTCAAGGGTACCCCAGGAAAGGGGAGCCCTAAATGAATGGCTGGGAATAAGATGTGGATTTTTGTTATCATTACTATTATTGTTATTATTATTATTAACATTAATTTTCTTCCTTGGTTATGGTATTAATACATAAGACAACCACCATGTGATCTAGTGTTCAAAAGTGTTTTGTGTTAATTTCGCCTGATATATTTATCTTAATGGCTAACTTTGACCATTGGGTTAAAAGACTACAATGATGATTACTCGTTTCATAGGGACAAGTTGCCTTACCGTGTTAATTGTTAAACATATTTGCCTAAGACACTGACTAAACAGATACTCTTCATATGCCAAGAAGGTTCCTCAGAAAGGGCAGTACTTAAATGTTCCCAAACCAGTTGCCTGGCTAAGTAGTAATTACTCTCTTCATATGCCAAGAAAGTTCCTCAGAAGGGGTAGTGCTTACACGTTTTCCAAACTAATGTCCAGGTTAAGTAGTAGAGTAACCTCACATAATATAGCCAGATGTTAAAAAGAAAACAAAAAATGCCTGATCTTCTAATCCCAGCACTGAAGAAGCAAAGGAAGGCAGGTCCCTGGGATCCACTGGCTAGGCAGCCTAGTTAATTGAAGTTCCAGGCTAGAGAGAGACCCTGTCCGTGTCAGAATAGTTGATGATGACTGAGGAACAGCACTTGAGCTTGTCCTGAGGCCTCCACTCATGCACAGGCATGTGCACCTGCACTATCCATATGGCCCCCCCCCACACACAATGAGAAGTTGAATGTAAGTGAACACAAACATGTATTAGCCATGTCACCTGTACACATCTGCACTCCTTCACTTCATCTGTGATGACAGGGGTGAACTTCTTCTCTTAAGGGGTCACGGTATAAATTTATAGCACTATAGTAGATACATCTGTCAATTTGAAAAATAGATATTTTGTTATCAGGTATTTTATCTCTGGGTGCATCTGAGTATAATTTATTGCTTTAAAATGTACTAATTTCTAACAAATGCAATTTTATTTGGGAAGGATAATTTGTGTGATAAAATACCAGCATAAACTGTTATTTTCTATTTACTTGTGATTTTTTGTTGTTGGGAAATGATGTCAGCTTGTGGATGTGTGTGAGGGAGGAAAGGGAAGCGGGTGTGTGTGGGGGTGATGGTTGAACAGAGGATTGGGGAGGGGGGTGATGCCAGACTGTTTGGCAATAGCTTGGATGATGGTGTGAGAAAAATATTATCTTCTGCTGTCATCTGTTTCCATGAGAACCTTAAAGTCAAGTTTAAAATACGGAGTTTTGCTTCTGTTTAAACAGCCTCTGCGAGGGAAAGGCCCTATAGACCTCATTACAGTTGATTCCTTACTAGAGCTGCAGGACTCCCAGAACCCCTTTCAGTACTGGATAGTTAGTGTGATTGAAAATGTCGGAGGAAGATTACGCCTTCGCTATGTGGGATTGGAGGACACTGAATCCTATGACCAGTGGTTGTTTTACTTGGATTACAGACTTCGACCAGTTGGTTGGTGTCAAGAGAATAAATACAGAATGGATCCACCTTCAGGTAAGAGCTGACACTTTTCCTTTGTGACATGCTTGAGATAGCAACCTCCTGTGGGTGTGTCTCGGAATGCATCCTCTGATGTGTCTTTTACATGCCGGTGTGTGGATTTTAATTGTGTTGACTTCAGAATCTTTTGTACGGAGACTAAAATCCAAGGTGCCGATCAGAAGCATTCTCAAAGGAGAACATGGGTGCTGTAGCCTCAGGAAGCTGGTCTGCTTCCTATGGTGTCACTGGCTCAGAAATGGAAGGAGTGATAGATTGGGGTTCGAGCATCATCTCCCCATTCTTTAGGGATTGTAGTCTTGGGAGCATATTCCACATTCTCTTGCTTTCCCATCTTTCTGATTGCCTGTTTTCTATTCATTTGTTCACCCATTCTTCTGCCCACATTCATCCGTCCATCTGCCCTTCTGCCTATCCATATAAGTTACTATACATCCATTTATGCATGTGGGTCATCTATATATCATCCATTCTTCTGCTCCCTTCCTTTCTTTTTTCTTTCTGTCCATCAATCCATTTATACCCATTCATCTCCCCACATCCATCCACACCCTCCCACTTACCACTTACGTGGCTGTACACCATTTATACATTCACACTGGCCAGCCAATTGCTCTCTCTATCCATATACACCCATTCATTTGTCCAGATTCATCCATACCCCATTCATCCACCCTGCTACCTTTCTATTTACTCAATCGTGCAACCATACACCACCCATTCATGTCTATCACCTATCCATCCATCATCCATCCACCTATCTGTGTATATCACTTATCTATTTTTCTATACATCCATCCATTCAAATTCCATAACACCTGCTTATGATTATGTAATTCATTTTGACAAGGAAATAGCAACCAAAGGATTAATCTGTTTACCCTTTTCCCCTGTCAAGTGTCCAGGCAGCTTCCAGTGTGCTGGCAAATGGCTTTGCATAGACGTAATTGGATAGAACAGTGCATTCTGCCCTCTGATAGATCTGTCCAAAATCTCATATTTACAGAATAACTATTCTTAAATACTGGTCATAGTCTAGGTGATTCTACATCTGTTACGTTTATTTTGATTCCAAATATGTGGGGCATGCTTGGTGTGAATCTCTTTCTACAGCCAATGACAGAATTGTGATTGAGATTAAGCTGCTTCTCCAGGCCCCCCTGGCGCTTGTAGGGAGTAGCCTGGGTGCAATTAGAGTTCCCAGGTCCTAGGCTCAGCACATTTCATTGCCTCTGCTGACCTCTACTACTCTTACCAACCTTTTGGTGAAAAACCTCGGAACAGCAATGTCACATTGTTAATGCACCTACATAAGCCAAGGAAGAAATACTTCTTTTTGATAGAATTTTATTCTGTGGTCAGCTTTACAGGTATATTTAGAACAACTAATTAGTCCAGGGCTTCATTAAAATTGCTACTGTGTTGGTTGCCAGTGTGAGTCTTGTGAACGTGAAAGTGAGAAGTTATATTTACTGCATCTGTCACTCAAGGGCTCTGAGTGTGGAACATTTCCTGGTTCTGGACCCCGTGTATTTACATCTGTGGTAAATCTGACAGGCAGATAGATGTGTAACCTGGTCTTTTATAATAGCTGTATTGTTGTTGTTGACATTTTGATACGCAGCCAAGAAATCCTTTTATACCTTAAGCATTTTGGGTGATAACAAACAAAGATCTTGTCCATACTGTGAGAAAAGATTGAGCTCAAGTTTGCCCAGGGATTCATAACCTGGCAGGAAAAATTTACTTGTGGGGAAAGGTGGCTGTGTAAATCTCAGCCCAGGGCCTAATTGCTTTATAAATTCTGGAAGGAACTTATCCTTGCCAGTGCAAGGATTTATAGTAAAGCAAAGAGTTTCCAGTTGCTTCTTAGATTCTTTCTCCTGTCTTTTCCCTGTGAATCCCAGGACTAAAAGTCAAAAGCTGAAGGGGAAAATCTCCCTTTAAGAAACATTTGCTTGTGAGTCTTCTCACTTTGGATGATTCTGTCTTTACAATGCATGACTAGACCGTGCTTATCTGTCTTAGAAATTTCAGGACATAACGCTGATTTCACAGAAGAGTTCATGAGTTTGTCTAAAGACTGGACAAGTGATTTGTCGACAGTTTATTTCTCCAACACTTAAAGTGTTGGTGTGAATGGTTGTATATGGGAGAGAAAGTAAAAGGCAAAATGTCACTCAAATATAGTAGTTACAAGATGAAAACTGGAGGCTGCTACTTCCTTCAGTGAAATAATACCCCTGAGAAAAGAGGCAATTATTACTCCGATTTTACACATGGGAACAGAACCCGATATGTTATATCTGTGTAAATTAATTTCAAATCCCAGGGTACCTTGCGCCATTTAAATGGTAGCATCATTTCCTGAACTGAAATGGCATAATGAATACAAATTCAGACAGTATAGAAAATATTAGGCTGATTCTCTTCTTCCCAGACACTAATAACCCAATACAAAATTACCAGCATTCAAAACTGAGTTGGGTTGCGGAGGTGGCATTGGGGGAAATATAGTAGACTACATGTGTGCATTGAGAGGGAGGCTGTGGAAGCTGACCCTGCTGCCAGATCCCCTCTGCCATGCCTTTTCTCCAATGTCATCACCATGCTTGTAAATAATCCCCGCTTCTCACTTTGTGTTACTCTCTTGTTTTACTTTCTAAAGGACACTTTCTTCTTCAACTGTTCAGTCTGAGCAGATAGAATAGAAATAGATAATAGCAAGTGGCTGGGTCGTTGTTCATTGGAAACTCTGGGAAAGGTACTGGATGTTATACTATGTACTTCTGAGGATCTAGCATTGTGGGACTTTCCATGTCTAGCCTGAACTCTGGCACTTGAGAGCAGACAGAAAGCAAATGAAGGCATCCCATCCTGCAGTATGGGAGCAATTATGCAATTGTGCTCTGTGTGTGAGATACACCAGATGATTGACAAGTGATTTAAACCATGGTCAGAGTATTTTGGCTAGCCTTTGGTTTTCCAAGAAGGTTGTCAAGTCAGGGATAGGTTGGGAAGCCCACTTCTTCAGCTGCAGATGTTTAGAAGACATGATAGATGTTTTGGTCTTATAGAAACGAAGGAAACAAAATTCTATCCTTTTCTAAGTCGAGACTTATATTTTTTAAACGTTTCCCACATTGATTTCTTCCAAAAAGAAATCATTCTTTCAAACGTTTAGATAGATTCTGGAATCAGAAAATTTCAGGATAGAACTGAAATACTTCTTGCCTAAACTGTTTGTGTTTTCAAAAGAGTTGGTGTGTTTGAAATTTTTTTTCTTATATTGCCCAAACAAAACACCAGAGTCTGGGTTGCTTAAACAGTGGACGTTTATTTGATCACAGTTCTGAAGTCTGGAAAGCTGAAACAGGAGTGCCAGATTTCTAGGGATCTGGTGAGGGCTCCCTGGCTTCTACTGGCTCTTCCTGGAGTTCATCAGCATACACTAATTCTCTTAAAGGGCCATCCCACCAGACCCCTCTTAAGCCTCATCACCTTCTACAGCTTTTCCTCCAAATGTCACACTGGAGATTCGAGGTTTTACGTAGGAATTTGGAAGGACACAGATTCAATTCATAACATTTTCCAGTACTTTCTGTCTCCTAATTACTATTGCTCAGTCTTTCCTCACTGGCACGGAGAAGGAGGGAATCGATTCATGGTGATGGTTAGACCTCTGAAAAGGGGGCCCTTCCACAAGGCCTCCATTTACTTATGGTTAGTTATTTATTTTTCTATTTAGGGTGATGTGGTTTCTTTCTGCAACACTTTCTACCAGAACATTGCAAACTTTTGCATGAAGGGAGATCTCCTCACTTTCCTCTAGGCTCCTGGTGACAGATGGGTGAAGGCCATCTTTTTAATTGTTTATGACTTCCCACGACCAGTAAATGGAGTCTGATGAACACTGTTAAATTCCCTGCAGTGCAGGTCATTTTGAGAACATGTTTTATGTCCTTTTAATAGACCTGTTTATTGTTCATAAATTCGCTGGTGTACCCAGGGTGGCTCTGTCTGCTAAAACACGCACAGGGAACATTGTGCTCTGTGAATTGCATCCTGGAAGTGTTTCGTCTTTACAGGTGGCAGAGAAGGCTGTCCAAACTAAGTTTTACCTTTGCAGAAAAGATGGTGCCTTGCCATGGTGTTAGATCCCATCTGTGTTAGTGACTTTCCTCATTGCTATGACAAAACACCCAACCAAAGGAAAGAAGGCTTACGTAGCTCTACTGAGGAAAATCACATGTATTTCTGTTCCTACATAAAAATGCCATATTAGGGGAAAATATTCTCCTAGAGGTAGAAAGTTCTATATGAAATGCTAGAAAGAATCTTAGGCAAATAGAAGATACTGTGTTCGAAGTCACCTTCTGTGTTAAGACCTCAGTCAGTGTGTTGGTAACTTGGCTAAGTCTGATAAGGTCTCTCAGCAACTATAATTATATCCCCCCAAATACAAAATAAACCCCTATAACATGGGGGCTTTGAGCTCAAGGTGAGTTTAGAAGCTGAAGAGATCCAAATATATGGCTTCATGCTAAAAATCAGACATGCAAGAAATTAAAAATATAGCCTGAAGGTTTAATGTTGCCTTTTAAGTGTGCTTAAATTCATATTCATATCCCAAGAGTCTGTCTGAGGCAGTGAGGGTTGATATAGGGACGATATAAACACATCTACTTCCAGTGAGAGCTTCCACAAATCCTATTTTGATAAGGTCTTAAATCTGTTGTGATCAGGCCATAAAATTCCCCTACAGTTTCAGCAATACATGAAAACAGTGCTCAATGTGTTTTTTTCCCCTTTTAATTTTGCATGCAGCCTGTATAGCCTCTGTGTGTAAATCTTCCCCCTCCTCCAATGCCTGGGGGAAAAATATGGGCGACATGTGGTATGTTAGGAATATTTCAAGTATAAATATAAAACTTGGTTTGTAAATTTTAATTTACCTTTTAATAATTTTTCTGACTTATATGGCCGTGTGTGTGTGTGTGTGTGTGTGTGTGTGTGTGTG